CATTCCCCTTTGATGTCACTTCCTCTTATTTTACAAGCAAATATCTCAACAACAGTTCATCCCAGACGTAAAAAAAATGTTTTCTAGCATGCTATTAAATGTTGTCTTTCCAAAAATGCATTCATATTTATTACAAAAATTGGATGTCACAGTCACTTTAAGTGGACCATTTAAACATAAAATAGTTGATAAATGCAGCCTTTATTGAAACATAGTAAATTACAGTACTAAGTTTAATCTTAAACTCTGACTACTTCTAAAGTCAGCAGACTTCTCACAAAATGAGATGTAATATGAGCACAAGATTTTGGTCATTTTATTTCACGCTGAAGCAACAGATTTGTTCTTTTTTTCTATTTTACAGCCTAACTTGAGTAAAAAACAGACTATTTGAAGCCATAATAARACTTAATCTTTCTTAGTCTCATGCACACAGCTGATCAGTGGTTTATCTTTGTTTTATCAAAACAGATATCTGTTGTTTGTTTCCAGACCTAAAAGTAGTTAAATAGACAACACACACATGATCATGAGAGCGATCTCACCCTCGGGACCCACGGGTTGTGCTGAGTGTTAAAGCTCACATGCTGCTGCTTCAAGCACCTTCACAGTTTTATTTTTTTTTTACTCGACAGCTCTGATTAAATTAAAATGATTGTGTTTATAATAAGAACAGGAACAGTTTCTAACTAGGAATGCTTCTGCTGTCATAGCGAGTGGCTGCAGATCCTTTCAGACAGGAAGTGAGGGGAAACGATTTGGGGGACTGAGGGAGCAGAGAACCATCTGTGAGAGGATAAAAATAAAACCCGTGCAGCTTTACTTAAAGGTATGCATTGCACTCCTCCAGGTGTTATTCTGAGCTTAGGAGGAGCTGGAACATGTGGAGGTTTTCCTGGAGGCAGTCTGGTGTATTTTTATCCTGATCAGACAGTGCAGCGTTGCCTGATCGGGTCACAGAACGGGTAAACGCTGTTAGATGCTTTCTGATCGCTCTCATTCAGAGGCGATCTGATTGGTTATTTTTACAGCTAAAGCTTTGATCTTTTGGTTCTGGTAGGCACCACTCAGCAGACATTACCCCACATGTTTAGCTAGCTGCACATATTTCTGTTCCTCTGWGCTGGTTTTGATTTGTGACAGCAGAATTTAGTGTTGCTGATTGTGTGGCATATTCCTTTATAGAGCAGTGAGATGTGGTTACATGTGATGGAAATGTGTTTTAAATTCCAGGTGAACACACGCTTCAAGCTGCTCACTTACTTGGTACATGATGGAATAAAAATCAAACCTAAATATTTGTCTTTAGTTTGTGGCAAGTGAAACACAGTTGTCGCCTTCATTTTTTCTTTAACTCTGGAAATGTGCCCATCTTCCTCCTCCTACTCCTTGTTTAAGCTTCCCAAATGAAGGCTCATGTGAAAATATGCCAACTCAGTCTCACAAACATTAGTCTGGGCCGGGCCTGGCAGAACCCTGAGAGATACTTTGTCAGGATTAACTCCTAAATCTAAACACAAAGCAGGTCTTCACACACCTCAGAGGTTATTTTTTTAAATTTGATGTTATGAATTTATGACGTTTTGAAAGCTTCTTTATTGATTCATGAGCGACATCACGTTTTCAACATATAAAACAATTTGAACAAACATAAAAACATTATTGATTGTTGATGACATGATACATCTTTAAAATATCCAAAACATAAGATTGACCTTTGTTTTTTGCKGTTTATCTAAAGCTGGGTGATGTGGGTGAAAAATTGATCATGATATTAGCATTTCATATCGGTCAATATCGATAATTATTGATTCGTTTTAATATTGGTCTGACTCTTGTCAAACTTAAAATATCTGAATCACTGCTAAACTGGTGACTCTTTTATCCACAGTTTCCTCTTGAGCTGTTGCATCATTTTCTTCTTTCACTCCACGCTGTTCTTTTTTATTTTCAAGCAGTTCTGAGGCAAAACATAAAACCGCTGCTACACGTTACTCCACAGGTTTTTTTTGCTAACTTACCTTCTTTAGCTGCAGGCTTTTAGCTGTTGGGGCGTCGTATCAACACCCTCTTCAGTTTTTAGATGCCTCATTTCAGTGTCGCAGCATCCTGAATCCATAATTAATTTCATATTAACCCTACAATGGTGGTCTGGTCCAGTAAGCTAAGTGCTGAATTGCTCAAATGTGCTGACAAGCGGGAGAAAGAAACCCTGGTTTATGCATTTCAAAATAAATGAGCAATTTTTTTTAGCTGGCATTTGTAACCTATTAACAGCTTGAAGCTTTTATTTTGAAGGTGAATCCTAGCTTTCCTAGTGTTGTTTAGTTAAAACATCCTAGCTTATTTTATCAGAAAGTTATCAACTTTTAGCAGTTAATAACCAGTGAAATTATCGATATTATTTTGAACGTGTTGTCTATTAATATTGAACACTTGTTTATTTGTTTCATATTGTTATTGAACCCTAATTTTATCCTTCATTTATCGTGAAACGTGTAAACCCTTTTTTTTTTCTATTTTTATGTTTATTTTAAGTATTTTGGATCATTTATCTGTCATGTTTGGAGTTTGGGTCTGGATCTAACAGGATTGTTCCTCTTTCTCTCCCAGGCTGAGTGGCAGCCTCTGCTGATGCCGAGTGTTTTCATTCCAAGTGCCCGTTCTCCCCGGTGTGTGTGTGTGTGTGTGTGTGTGTGTGTGTGTGTGTGTGTGTGTGGGGCGGGGGATGAGTGTAACCGATCCTTTTTGGTATCAGTGGTGTGTTGGACTGCGTGTAGCCCGTGGCGGAGGTTTTTTTGTCCCATCACTCTCTGTTGGAACTTGTCAAACCCAGAGATGGGATCTGTTAGGAATTATCCAGCCCTCCTCAGGCAAATGGAAATCAGTTTGGCCGAAGCAGCTGCGAGTGTTCAGAGGAAACTGGAAGAGGCCTTTATTCTTTTTCTTTTTTTTTTCTGAGGTTATTTTAAACTTTAGTTTGTGATGGTGTAATTGTTGTTTCCCCTGTCGTAAAAAAAAAACACATTTTAATCTGGAGAATTTCACTCCTGTGAAGTGAAGATGAAAAAAGCCTGTAGCAAACATGCAGCCTTCATAAATACAGCACCAAAAGCTGGGG